AGGCATTATATATCTATTTTCAAAAGCACTAAATAGTTGTTTATATGTATTTGCTTCTATAGAAGCACTTTTTATGTAATGCAGTAAAGAAACTTAAAAATTAGAGAAATTTAGGTTTTTAAAACGTCGGTTTACAGGTCTTTATTCAGTTTACAGGCCGAGCTCCAGTACCCTCTTAATTATGTAAATATCTTTTACATACACACACGATTCTTGTAGATGTGATTCCTAACGCATCACTTGTTTCAATCGAAAATACTTCCAAAGATTTTTTTTATGTTCTAGTTTCAAAAACCAGATACTTTGCGATCTACACTTCGCTGACGTGGCGCTGATGGAGTGCTCGGACTTCATGCAGCAGTTGCGCAGCTTCAAACCACAAAGTTTAGGCTGCGCAGTTGCAAGAAGAAAATCCTCGACCACCTTGATCTTCCCGTTGCCACCTCAAGCGTGCTCCGGTAAGTATTATTGTTTTCGTCAATATTAACTTTTCTTTCTATATTATTAAATACATACGTATAAAAAAATATGTGTGTATGTGTGTGTACTTGTGCAAAACTCTAAACTCTTTGTTATTCTTGTAACACCGAGAAGCTACAGGTGGTTCCCCGTCTTAGATTGTGAACGATTTATATGTATAAAATTATTATCCGTTAAACTGTTAATCGAGTAATTATGTAATGGCGAATACAATAGAGTTCAATATAGATCTGCGATAGAAATATGAAGTAAATAAAGCTACACACAAAGAAATATTTATGACAGAAAATATGCGTGTAATAATTATCACATATCGCGTTGTTCGCTTCATTTTTAGGTGAAGTTATCACGCGGATTTTAAAAGTAACGCTTCGATATTTGTACGATCGAGCAGTTAGGTTGTATTGATAATATTTGGGAGTAGATTTCCACTATCAAAAGTGCATAATTTGTCACTTTTAATCCCACTTCTTCGCTTTGCGAGCCCGAATATTGTTGTAATTTCCATAAGAGGTGCTTCAGTCACTCGGACCGTTTCGGAATCTGGGTTTCCGATTAAATACGAATGGCCATTATACTTGAACAAAAGATTTGGCAATTAGTTCGAATCGCATCAGTGGACAAAAAGAAGAGGATGGGCACACCGCGGGCGGTTCACTCTAAGTTCGAATACCAAGCCCTGTTTGCAAACAGCTTGGTGTTCTACCTTACAGTGAATCGACCGCGGTATCGTCGACAGCTGTTCGCAGGAAAAGGAGCAACAAGGTAGGAAGAGAAGACAAAGATTGATAAAACGAAACGACGGCGGGAGAGAGAGAGAGAGAGAGAGAGAGAGAGAGAGAGAGAGAGAGAAGAAATACATTCTAAAAAAGAAGAATTACCCCAGCTGGTTTTAAGTGAATTTGTAAGTTCAATGTTTGCGAAAAGAAAATGAGTTTAGTCGTTTGCTTGCACTTCTGTTGCATTTATTTTCTTAAAAGAACACATTTATATGAACACACATATGACTCAGTTCTTAAACGCAAAAAGAGTGCATAAAGTATAAGCAATACGAAAAAACCTAATCACTTTCTTAGTTCTCTTTCATGTTCAATTCGCCTTCGAAGTTATTTTGCCGGATCGGATTTCTCTCTTAATAATTTCAGGACGGAATGTTCGTTTTCGTGTGTTGTTTGACCCATCCAATTTGATTGTTCCTTATCTCTCTTTCTCCTTTTTCCCTCTTTTCTCATTTTTTTTCATTCTTTTTTCCTCTAAACCAACTCCATCGTCAAAAGAAATGATTTAGTAACTGTTCTTTTTTTTGTATCCCACAACAAAAAACATCATTAGCATTATTGCCTAACAATTTGTATTTTGTACAAAGTAAGAAATTAATTGTGACAGTAATTAATTAATTGTAACAGTAATCTCTCATTTTTAATGAAATTATTTTACTGATGTCCGCGCTTTTTCTCATAATGAACATTTAAGATTTTTTTATTTACATGTGTAATGCGTGATACTATAAAATAATATAATACGTTCTACATTGTAATTAAACGGTTAATTATCGGTTCCATAAACCATTTTCTTCTGGACGATATATCTTAATTATTTTTTGTATTATTATCCGCAACGTTGCGTCAAATAAAAGACACACAGTTTTTACGACTTGTTAGTCGACACTGTCGATAGTCTTTTGTTAAGCGCATCTCGAATACCTTTAGAAAAACATGTAGAAAATTTTTGTTCTTGTTTTTCTCGTTTTATTAGTATTTTATGTATTAGTATTTTATTAGTATTTTATTTTTTTAATTTTAGTTTTACTATAATTAACAAGATTTGAAGCCGTTTGTTGTTGATTGTATATGAAACGTTCTGAGAAAATGCATTAAGGAGATAATAAAAGAAACATTTTCTTTACTATATATCTATTTATTAACTAATATTGTAAATAATTGTTAATTGAAGCAATGCAACGTTATTAGCGCTCGACTCTTACCTTAGTTCTTCCCAATTTTAAAATTGTTAAGAATAGTATATATTACATGCGCACGGATATTCCAAAGTATACGTTTTTCCTCGAATTGTATCCACTTCGAAAACTTATTATTTGCTGTTCATTTCGCTGATTATTAGCAAAAACCAAACTCCGTAAGACAGCGTGTAAATAAAGAATAGATGCATGTTGAAAATCTAATTTCTTCGCAGATGAGTTTTGTCAAGAGTTCCCTCACAATTTGATACCAACGCCGGGTTATTGGATCGAGTGTTCGCGGCCACAGATCACGTCGGACACGATTTGGGACGAGAGTGAGAGCGATCGCGATACCACCGATCTCGAGCAGGTGGAACAGGAGCAGACGGTGGAGGAGCGTTCGTCGATGCTTAAACGGCAGGACAACAGTTTTTGTCTCGTTGAAGAGAACGAAGTTGACACGGACGATGTGCCACGCAAGAAGACTACCATTGAAGAACAATGGGAGAAAAATCAAGGCTTTGAACTCACTTCAGTCGAGCAAGAAACTTATGAAAAATATTTTTATGGCACGGAGCATTGGAACTACTTCACCAACGACGAAGATTTGGGACCGGTGATACTTAGCATCAAGCAGGAAACACTCAACAATCGAGACCAGTTCAGGATTCTAGTCAGAGCGATCAGTTACACGGTCCATGGCCTCATTCCTGCCAGCTGCGTCTTCGCCGATCGGTATGTAATTTTTTTTTTTCATTTTTAGATACATATATACATGCACATCTACTCAATATTTTGCGATCACACATATTTCTTGTGAAGTAATGTGTGCACAACAGAAAGTAATCACGCGTCAGTAAGATTGTATAACGTCAAATGTATACATATATATATATATATATAAAACGTTGAGCATTTTGTACTAAAACTCTTTTTTTTCTATCGGCTAAATATGTTTCAACGAAGTAAAAGAATCGATTTCCGATGTTACGATCAATATTTTTCTATTCTTCGCGAGGCAAAAATTGCAAATGTTTTTGCAGGTACAATCGAGAAGAAGTGGTTCGTAGTCTCGGTAAAGAGGTGAATATCAATCCGCCGCTGACCTTGGGCCAATTGCCAGATACGCCCGAAGAACTTCTGAAGCTCGATCAAGTTTTTATCAAGTCCGAGCTGAAAGTGGGAGTGATTTATATTCAGGAAGGCCAGTACAGCGAGGAGGAGATACTGGATAACAACGAGAATTCGCCGCTTTTTGAGGAATTTCTGCAGATTCTCGGGGAAAAGATCAGACTGAAAAATTTTGACAAGTATAAAGGCGGTCTCGATACTGTGCACGATTTGACAGGCCTATATTCTGTGTACACTAACTGGCGAGGTATCGAGATAATGTTCCACGTGTCTACTTTATTGCCTTACGAGAAACACGATCCTCAAAAAGTAAGTCATCAGTTTTGTTTTTATTAAATTTATCACTGTGTGAGAGAGAGAGAGTTAAAAAACTTTTAGACAATAAAAATGTGGTGAAGAAATTTAATCTAAAAATCGTCTTTATCTACTCTTTCTAGCTCCAGAGAAAAAGACACATTGGTAACGATATAGTGTGCGTCGTATTCTTGGAAGCCGACAACACGAGCTTCAGCCCAGCTTGCATTAAGTCGCACTTTTTGCATACATTTATCCTGGTACGAGTGAGTCCGCGAATTAAACGAAAAACCACTAGATACGAAGTGTCTGTCGTTACAAGAGACGAAGTCGGGGCCTACAAACCGTATTTATGGGAACAAAGTGTTTTTGAAAAAGGTGATATTTATAATTTTATATAGATAGATGAATTTTATTTGTTCCCCTCGGGGTTACAAAAATTCATACAAAGCACCTTAAACCTAACTTACAACTAGCTTATAAACTATTTTATTTTAATTTTTTTTTGTAATATTTTAAAAATAGGGGGGTATACGGGATCTCTCATATATGAGATGCAAATATAGCATTCTATATGAATTTAAGAATTGAAATCTCAATTCAAAAACTCACTGGAAGATTTACACGTGTATATACCCAGCTAACCGAATCTGTCGAAACAGATTTTGTCAAATGCTTGTTACAAATTTTGTTAGCAGAAAAATATCAAATATGATGTAGAGTTTGTTTTATCTGGCAATTTTGCAAAATTGCTAGCAAAAATATGTCCAAGCTTGTTGACAAAACATAACAGCAAATTGCTGGCAAAAACCGAGCAAAGCTTGCACATAATTTGAGACCAAATTGACGCCAAATATGAAGCAAGATCTGCGCAACACAACTTGATAGCAAAATAACAGCAAAAACTGTACAAGACTTGCAGTTCAGTCAAACTGCCCAGTAAGCAAAATGCGCGCAATATGCCAGCAGATTGGCAACAGATATACTAAAAAGTTGCGAGCAAATTGGTATCTGTTATGTCCGCATTAGGCTTACGATCTGCTAGCAAAGCCTGCTCACAGAATCTGACAGCAGATTGGCTTCAGAAACCGAGCAGAATCTGCTAACATGACTTGACATCAGATTGTCGGCAGAAACCGAGCAAGATCTGCAGTTTTTAGCGATTCATAAAATGGTGCATTTAAAGGATTTCAATATTATTTTTATATTTTTTAAATGTAAAATAAGTAAACAATTTAAAGCAATATTTTTATTATATAATTCTTACAATGATTTTTTTACATTTTATTGCGCGTTTTCAACTTATCTACTAAATTATAATTATGTATAAAAAAATTATACATAGTCATACACTAAAATTATATATAGATAGATATAATTTATTGACGTCTTAAACTAATTTAAATTCTAACTTCGCTATACACATACATAGTAAATTTATTATATAATGTGTCACACTACAACCTTTATAATTTTTGTATAAAACACTTTTTTCAAACATGTATTTTTCTAATTAATTAAGGAGTTTAATTTATTAAGGGGTTTCTACACTTTTGCAAGATCTTATATTTATAAAAAAATTATTTTGCTTGTATATAATGTTAGTGTTGTATATATGTTAGTATATACTGTTATATATGTATATATATATGTATATATATTATATATATATA